GGGAGTTATAAATGGAAACAGTTGGCAACTATATATATTCATAATAATTTATGAAATAAAATTGATTAAGAATCAAACTTATATCTTTTATGTTGTTCTTGAACATTGATTATGTTTTTATAAAAATGTGATGACAAAAAGACATGTTTTGCGAAACATTGAGCACCCATCATAGCCCATCTAGAGAGCAGTTACAACTTCAATTATTCAACTGCTTAAGGTGTCGCCATTGAGATTCGAGGTCACAAGAGCCTTCATACAGTTATTTTTCCAGGAAAACTAGATCATGCAGAATGGATATATTGTTCGTGGAAATAGAATACACCAGCACTGTTCATACCAGAGCACCGTTCAGATTGTAAACACAAAGTGGAGAAAATGTAAGAGAAAACTGCAAGTCAAAGGTGACTATCGTGATCATGGTTTCATTGAATATGTCAATGAGAGACACGATATTCCAGGGCATTCACCATTAAACATGATTAAAAAACATAAGCTTGTTCATTGAACATTTATTAATTTATCTTTTATTCAAGTATCATCATTTATATTTATACAATTTATCAAATACATACATAAAATTTATATATATCTATATGCATTGCCCAAAGCAATTTCGGGATAGATTTTATATAATTAAGTATTATGTCCAGACGTTCACATTCCTACACATAATCCTTACAATAAAGGTTAGGCATTCCTTGCTAATTTTAGACAGCAACTTTGTTTCCAGAATTTTTTATTATATTTCCAGTGTTATCTTATAAGTAAGTTAAAATAGAAATGAGGGAAAAGATAAAATTGGATTTGATTTGGAAAAATAATCACTAGATGCACTAGGGTAATAAGCACCATAAAATATGTATCATCACTTAGAGCTAGTAGCAATACAGATTAGCAAGGAATTTCTAACATAGTAAATCCTTAACGACTGATAATTCAGGCTATATACAAAATTAAAACATTTAGTAATAGCTGAAAATTTACACTGTACAATGTAGAGTTCAACAAAATTCAAAACATTAAGTAGAAATTGTATAGAGCATTGTTTCTAGTTTTCAACATATTACAACAGGTGTTTTACTAACAATGTCATTTTTTAAAAAAAATTTCTGAATCATTTAACACATTAAAATTACAGTTTACATTACAGGTTAATGAAACATTATTTGTCTCTCCCTAACACACATTAAGCATTTTAGCATAACGTGGAGCAGCTCTGATTCAACACAATTAACAAACAAGAGCCACCGCCAGGCGGGGCAAAGCTCGACTTTTTACTTTTTCTAAAAGCCAACATAGAAATGTTTGAACAAATCTTAAAGTTTCCTTTTTATAAATTTAATCGGTCTGTCTTGTCACATTAGTTTTGTCCTTATATTTTGTATACATAAATTTACTCATTTATATATATAAATATATAGAAACAAGCAATTCTATAAATAGAAACACGAAATTCTATAAATAGAAATACGCAATTCTATAAATAAAAACAGGCAATTCTAAAAATAGAAACCCAATTTTTTAAAAATAGAAACACATAATTTTAAAAATAGAAACACGCAATTCTATATATAGAAACACGCATTTTTATAAACAAAAACACGCATTTCTAAAAATAGAAACACGCAATTCTAAAAATAAAAACACGCAATTCTATAAATACAAACACGCAATTCTAAAAAAAGAAACACGCAATTCTATAAATAGAAACATGCAATTCTATAAAAAAGAAACATGCAATTCTAAAAATAGAAACACGCAATTCTATAAATACAAACACGCAATTGTAAAAAAAGAAACACGCAATTCTATGAATACAAAAATGCAATTCTATAAATAGAAACATGCAATTCTAAAAATAGAAACATGCAATTCTATAAATAAAAACACGCAATTCTAAAAATAGATACACGCAATTCTAAAAATGGAAACACGCAATTCTAAAAATAGATACACGCAATTCTAAAAATAGAAACACTCAATTCTATAAAAAGAAACACACAATTCTAAAAATAGAAACACGCAATTCTATAAATAGAAAAACGCAATTCTAAAAAAAGAAACATGTAATTCTAAAAATAGAAACACGCAATTCTATAAATAGAAACACACAATTCTATAAAAAGAAACACGCAATTCTAAAAATAGAAAAGAAACACGCAATTCTATAAATAGAAACACGCAATTCTAAAAATAGTAACACGCAATTCTATAAATAGTTGTTGTTGTTGTTGATGATGATGATGATGATGACTAATTGATCCCTTCAATAATAGCAAAATTACAGTCAGTTACAGGTCAAAGTCAAGGTCATTATTGAATGAAGGTCAAGGTCTCTCTGGTTATTTTAAAGGGTTATCCTTAAAAATTATTATGTTCAAGTTTGAAGACAATCCATTCAAAAATAACAAAGTTACAGCCAATAATAGCCCAAAAAATGAAAATTTCAATAATTTGACATTCAAAATCAAGGTCATTTATGAGTGACGGTCAAGGTCTGTCTGGTTATTTTCAAGGGATATCCTTGAAAATTATCATGTTCAAGTTTGAAGACAATCCATTCAAAAACAAGAACGTGTTTGTTAAACACAAATGCCCCCGGCTCAGATTCTTGTCAGTAGCAAAATTTCAAAAAATATTTACCCATTCACTCAGTTATGGACAGAAAAATTGCCAAAAAATTGTAAACACAAGTTATATAGCTTGACAAAGTCATGACATTTTGTAATTGTGAAAAATATAAGTTGCCAAGTCATTGCTCTGACTTGTGAAGTTGAAAATATTCAACTTCATGCAAGTAATCTTCCTACCAAATATGAAATACATCTGTCATTAAATAAAGGCTGTATGGGCAAAAGTGTAAAAATCTATTTTGAGCACTACTGACCTTGACCAAACTGACCCCTAACTCTTTCCAAAAGAAGAATACCATGTAAGTTATCGTCCTACCAAATATGAAATACATCTGTCAATAAATAAAGGCTGTATGGGCAAAAGTGTAAAAATCTATTTTTAGCACTGGTGACCATGACCCAACTGACCCCTTATTCCATCCAAAGGAAGAATACCATGCAATTTAACTTCCTACCAAATATGAAATACATCTGTCAATAAAAAAAGCTGTATGGGCAAAAATGTAAAAATCTATTTTTAGCACAAGTGACCTTGACCCACTGATCCCTACCCCAATCAAAAGAATGAATACCATGCAAGTTATCTTCCTACCAAATATAAAATATATCTGTCACTTAATAAAGGCTGTATGAGCAAATGTGTAAAAATCTATTTTAGCACTGGTGACCTTGACCCAACTGACCACTAACTCCATCAAAGTTTATGTTTCTATCAATTATAAATAATATTTTTCTATAGAATAAGGTCAATACACCTGTAAAAATCTATTTTTAACATTGGTGACCTTGACAGTAGTAACATTGACCTTGACCCAAATGACCCCTTACTACACCCAAAGAAGGAGGACCTCCCTTGGCATGTTTGTATTAAACTAAGACATCAACTAAACAATGAAGGCTGTATGAGCAAAAATGTTTATATTTATTTTTTTAAACCAGTGACCATGACCTTGACCCTAGAGACCGCTTACTCCACAAAAAATTAGAGGACCATCAAAGGTATCCACCTACTTAATATGAAAGATATCATTAAAGAAATTAAGCAATTAGGAGAAATTTAAAATAAATCCAACTTGCCAAAAATAGGTTAATCAGACAAGGCCCTATTTTCAAAGTGAAAAAGGGAAATAACTTGGAAATATTGATGACACAGTTATATAACTTGGCAATATCATGTACTTTGTATTGATAAGTAAGTGTGGAAATTATAAAACCATTAGTATAAATAGAACTTAAGATATTTCCAACTTGCCAAGTTAACCATTATTCATTTTCTAAGTGCTGAAAAGGGCAATAACTTGGTAAATATGAAAGCCAGAGTTATGTAACTTGCCCAGATCATGTACTTTGTATTGATTAGTAAGTGTGTAAACTTAGAAGACATTGGAACAGGTAGAACTTAAGAAAAATCCAACTTGCCGTTCTAGGTTAACCTAATACGGACAGACGGACGGACGGACGGTTCAATTACTATATGCCCCGGGGCATAAAAACAAAGTTACAGCCAATAATAGCAAGAACAAGCAAAATTTGGACTTTTTACCTTGAAGGTCAAGGTCATTTATGAATGAAGGTCAAGGTTAGTGTGGTCTACTGAAAGGTCTTGTCCCAAGGGTTGATGTGGCCAAGTATGAAGACAATACACCAAGAACTAAACAAGTTATGATTCAAGTATTAGTTTGCGGACGGCAACGGCACCGACAACGGCAACGCCGCCGTGACTATCACAATACCTCTATTTTTTTTATTCAAAACAAAAAGTCGAGCTAACAACTGACATGCTTTTTATGTTTCTGGAAGATTTTCTCCCAGTCCCTGACCTAATTGGTGCCACACCGCAACTAAACTTAGAGAAGGAAGATATATGACGAAAATGGAAAATTAATTTTGCAATAGTGTTCAACAGCATAAGAATGATTGAAAGTTTTACATGTCCCATGCTTATTTAGGCGATATCCATTCAAATCAGTGAGCTGTGTGACATTCCAATAAAACATCAGTAAATTGTTCTTATTCCTTGCGTAAAAACGGTTATTGAATGTTCATAGGGTATTCAACTATTCTCTGGCAATAAAACACCTATTTCTGCATCTAGTTTTCCTTTATCCAAAGCCCATGCAAATATACATTTATTTACTCTGTAATCATCATAACTTAAAAAACGGCTTTAATGATTACAAAACGTTTTCCATCAACAATGTTTTTATCCTATTTCACCTTGTACCGATACATTAAGAGTGTACTAACCGGAGCCAAGTTATAATCTCAGTGCTCTATGATTCGCCGAATTAATGCATGAAAACTATTGTTCTCCACTAAACATAACCTAATACTGCAAAATCTATTCTATAAAGAAATTTATTGTCATGACGACATATTCCTTTGTATCCATTTAACATGGAATACTTTCACAATATCAGCCCGTGGTTTTTCTTTCTGTGATGGACAACTAACGTACAGTTTTTGTTCTGCTTCACAGTATGTTACAGCTGTTGGTAAATAGATATTTGCTTTCTCTAGTCCAATAATGTCACATTTTTTTAAGCTGCTTGACAGTCTCAGAATAGTGTGACTGTTTCTGCAACATATCAGTATAGTCTCATCTTCTAATTGTTCTTGGCCGTAAGGAGATTGATATTTTGGTTCTTCAAAAACGGTGTTAACATTTCCTTTCCAATCCATTTTCAAAACCTTGCTTTTTTGTTTCCAATCTGTATCCGATACATATATAAACGATTCATCATTGCTGATCAAAACTCTGGTAGGCCCATAGAATATAGTAGGAGAACCAAGAACATCAAGAATTTCTCCTTCAAGATTGATAATGATTATTTTCTTTGATTCCGCGGAGGAGACAATAAGTTTTCCCCGGCTATAAGCAACACCATTGCACTTGTTTCTTACATCTATAAGTTTATATAATGAAAGTTTCGCGTCAGAATAAGACAATATCTGAAGAAAAGTTTCACCATTCAAAGTTACAGCAAGCTTTTTTTCTGGAAGAGTTATAACATCCACCGGACCTAAAGACATCTTTACCTCTGTTACAACTACATTTTTTTCAATGTCGATCAGTGTTACGTTTTTGTTTTTGTTATCAGCAACAACCATTTTCGTAGGAGTAACCATAACCATTCCAGTAATACTACATTTTTCTTTTTCTGATATCTGTTTAATGTCTATTGTATCTATATATTGTAAATCTATTGCTCTATCTGGGTATGGTTGCACAAATGTTGCCAATGTTCCATAACTATTCTCAGTCTTAAGAAAATCTATAATGCTTGCGTTGCGGGTAAATTGAATACAATCGTTTGTTGTATTTGCATGCAATGCGTTCTTTTCCTTATCTGTCAGTATTGGCAGACTTTTTCCGACGTTTTTTATCTCGATAAAAAGCTTATTTTGCTTGTTCTGTTCTTGTAATGACCTTAACAACGAATGTGAACATTCAAGTTCTTCAGTTATCTCTAAGGAAGCAGCTTTTACGGTTTCCTGACTACACTTTGCTTCTTTTACTATTGTGTCAGCTTCCTTTAATATTCTGGTTTCCATTTTGTCCAAACATTCATTTATCTCTTTCCTGAAGACTTTGATATCTTCAACAACTTTGGCATGACTCTGGTCTAGATCTTGCGCAGCTTTGCTAACATAAAATATGTTTGATTTACATTTTGTTATCAATGCTTCCATTTGTTCTAATATATCTGTCATCTCGTCAGACAGGATTCCAGAAACATCAGGAATATAGTCCACCTTACACTGTTTGTGTTCTAATGTAACGCATACATAACAATCAACTGATGTGTGATCCCGACAATAAAATTCTAGTGGTTTGTCTTGGTGTTTCTTGCAAAAATCAGCTTTATCCCCAGACATGCCAGATGCTATTGGTGCATTTACCTGGGTTTTTGGCATAGATTCTTTGTCAATGAGGACATGATTTCTCATTGGGCGTGGCCGTCTGTGATGTTTGAAGCATGTTTCACATAGATGCTCTTGGCAGTCTTGGCAGAAGCCATAAGCTGGTTCCTTCAAACCATCATTTTCACACGGGAGACATACTAATGTCGAGTCTTCAGCACTTACAGCTCCTGGATCTAATTTCCCAGGGACCTCCATCCCAGCCTAAAAATATTACATGAAAAGTATTTATTTATATTAATATTTGTTATTCATATAATAAAACAATTATTGACTAGTGAGCCATTGAATATGATGTGATATTCACCGGCAGAAAGTCATATTGACCTCGGCTATCGCCTCGGTCAATATGTCATCTGCCGGTGAATATCACATCATATTCAATGGCTCACTAGTCAATAATTGTATAATAATGACAATTGACATAGGTTTATTGAATTCATCTTAATCTCAAGTTGAGTTAATGATAACTGATATATGATTATAGCCCTAGATGAGTTGTCTCATTGACGGTGTTCATTAGCTCACAGTATTTTATTATATCTCTTCTTTAGTAATGAAATAATGTTAGATATATATATATATATTTGTTTTGGATAGGGGTGCTTATAATATTTACATCGAAGAAGCGTATGGAAATCATCTCCTATACCGGATTGGCATTTTAAGCATTTTCTTTCACTGTATTCGGTGCGTCTGGTTTTCGATCGACCGGTTTCAACTGGTCATTTATGGTTTGATGTCCTAAATCTTAGAACCTTATTTCCCTTATATTGCGGTAATATCTTTAAGTAGTTTTAAAATTTAAATTTCTTTGAGAAAGGGGCATATTTTCTATCTTAATTTTATCCAATCTGATGACCACTTTTAAATGAATTGATTTACTAAAGATTTTTTTGATCATTTTCGCTATGCTATTGCTCGACAAAGATTTTTGCTGTAACCACAGATAAGAGTAGCCAGTATTGTAATGTAATTATTTTGTTTCATCCATTTAAATAAATAAGATATTTTAAAGTTATTTGAAAAAGCACCACGTAACAGAGTTATGATAATTTCGTATTTTTCTGGGTTACATGTTTGTCCCAGAAGGATATCATTATTGATTTGTTTGTTATTTCGATAGGGTAACGGCCTAGCTCGCCATGTAGTATAAAGAATGGGGTACTTTTATAGTTTTGGTGATTGTTCTTAAGAAGTATGTATTTCAATTAAAATAGAGTATCGACGTATTTTTCTTGTGCCAAATTTCATGACATTTTTTTCTGTATTATAGCTTTCAGTACTTGCAATAGTCATTGAAACCGTTTAGTGATTTTTTAAGTGAATTTTTAACAGTATCGTCTGCGTACAATAGGATTAGAACTTTAAATAGAAAGTGTGTTTCATTACTGTTAGCTTTTACCTCAATTACTTCATTACCGCATGACATAAAAAATGTTCAAGGTCATTTAGGTAAAAACTAATTATCAGGGAAGATAAATGGTCCCCCTGGCGTCCGATTTTTCTATTGCAAAAATGCTGATTTATCGTTATTTATTGATATAAACGATTAAATATAATTGTACATGATAAACTTTATTTTTAAAATCGGTTTAATTGTACCTACAAACCAGTTGTCCGGCAATTTTCCTGTATCTAAAACTTTATTAAAAAACAATCATAGAAAGGTATCATTAAATATTTTGAGCTTTTTAGATATTCATTTAATATCATGTCTTCTGAATGGGTTTTGCCAGTGTTTGATTTTAGATAACTTTTTTCAATTTCTTTCTGTGTTTTTGGCATATTTATAATTTCATCGTCGTCATTAAAAATGAAATTGGGCCTCATTTTCGCTAGACTAATTCATATTTAGGGGGTAATTATGTTTTTGTTTCGGTTTCATACTATTTGAATATTTCCAATAATCTTTCGGCCTTTTCGTAACGTTTTTCATTATTGTTTTTATTCTACATGGTGAAACTATTCATTACTTTTTTGTTATTTTTGCTAGATGTCTTTAGGTTTAATTTATTAATGTCTGATTTCAATTACTTATACTTTTTTCGAGCTAGATTGTATTTTATTCCTACCTATAGGGGCGAACCACAATTTGTTTACCGTGTTTTTATTTTTTTTGTTTCTGACACGGGCTATTATAATTGAGATGTGATTTTGAGTGAAAAGTTTTAACCGCAGAAAACTGAAATATAGCATTGATTTTTGCAGATACTATATTAAAACTTTTTTTTGTGTTGTCGCTGTACAGTTATGTGATGGCTGGCGAACGCTTTCTTCGTTTCTAAATTAATTAATTCGCGCATTCTTCATAATATTTAAGTTTATTGATAAAATACAATGGCCCTCGAAATGCATGGACTGTCTACTTCGATGATTTCAAAATTGAGAATTTTTTGTAATAAATAAACATTTGAAATACAATAGTCAATTATCGAAGCGTTGCGAAAAGTACATTTGCCAATGTTGGCAACTTTTTCTGTTCTGCCATAACAAATGAAAAAATTATTATTATTACAAATGTCTATTTATTTAAGTACTGTTTTTTCCTTATCGTGTGAGAACCTGCTTAATGATTTATTCCATTCTTTAAGTGTATTGTTTGCCTCATAGAAATGCATCATTTCAGGGTCATAGTCAAAATATTTTGCTAAAAATGATATTTTCGGGTTATCGGGTAACATTCCTGTATGTGCATTTGTATCGCAAGTCAAGGACACATTAATTATAATAATTTGGTTCAATTTTGAACAAAATATTGCTGGATATGTGACAATTAATCAATATTGTAAAACGCAGAACATACACAATAGCAATTCTAAAGAATAAAATATTTTTGGTTATTTGTAATCACAAAATGTACTCACAATCGCTATCTAAGATTTCTGTGTAACGAGAAATAATATTGTGTACAAATACACCAATTCCACCTAATTTTCGTATATTCGATTGTTCTCTTGGTTTAGAAATAAATTCATAGTTTTGTAAAGATATAACATAAGTGACGTTCAGCTTTGTTTCAGTAACACAACAAATATCAAAATTATTCATCAGATTCACTACTTCTGAGTATTTAATGCGAGTTTTCAGTCCACATTACACAGTGTTCCAATTTTAAGTACCGGGTAGATGGTTAAGTTGTTTCCCCTTATATCCCATTTGTCTGCCAGTGTCGAATCTGAAGGAGGTTGATATAAGTTTCAAATAAGAATTCACTTTCCGTCCGTATTTAACCATTTGCATGTAATATCATCATTTTAAGAAACACTTTGGTTGTATTTAGTGTGAGATAGATTTGTGTTGCACCATTAGATAACTCAATATTTAGAGAAAAAAAATGATAAAGCGTTATGTACTGACATCAAATATCAAAGAGATTTTCACTCTATACCAGTTGTCAAGAGGTAAAAGGAAAATACTAGTGGAGAGTCCTTAAAGTACGTTTATTTTATGTTTTGATTAAAGGGAAAATATCATTTAACTATTCTTCAAACTGAGATACCTTGCGTGTTTGTTTATTTCATAAACAAGAAAATAAAATAAGTTATAAATTTTATATTTGTTTACCGATTGGCAAAATTTTTAGTTACCTGATAAGATTATCAAGCGATTATTGACTGGCTTCGGTATATAGCGAAGCAAAGGGTGACCAATGCGTAGGAGTTTGTATCAGTGTACTTAAGTAAAATATTTAATGTCACGTGACTTGTTCAATATTTTATGTAGCAAATTTATAAACATTTATCACAATTAGCAAAATTTCGCAAATTGTTAATTTGCTTTGATTTTTACCTCGATATGGTTTATAATTTAGAAAGATAAAAATGAAAATATAAAAAGGAACAAAACAAAAAGTTGTGGTATGTGACTTGTCTTGAACACTTCAAATATACCTTTTTATCATTATGACGACAAATACATCATGTAATAAAATCTATTTTGTTAGTATACTCATAAAATTTGATTTGATATGATATTAATTTTAAATTAATTAAAATTTCTTACCTTGTAATAAATAGTCTTATGGTTTACTTTGGAACGCGGAAGTTCAAAAGAACGTAACAGGGGAATGAACTCTAATTAAACAAAACATTATCTATCTTATACTTAAATGAATATTGTAGATAGAATATTGTAGATATAATATATGTTTCTTAAGGTGCTTCATATTTTGTGAAATCTATAATATATCAGGTTCGAATCATGTATCAAAATTTTAGCTTGAAGAATGTTCTCTTTTAGCAGGGTCTTTCAAATAAGACTATGCTTTCACTGATTCATGCTATATCATGCTAAATGGCATGGTGCAATAAAAAGGGAATAAATCATGACGTAAAAGTAACATAAGAATTTGTATTAGTTTTATCCCTTTGATTAAAATGTCTTCAGGATAATCAATATAATTGAAACTGTAGTACATCAAGATAAAGCATTTCAGAACGCAAATTATGCATGCTAACTTAAGCACAGTTTGAACTAAAAAAATAAAACGGCATAGGATAGTATCAGTTAGTGACCACTTTAGCAATTAGTTCAATAGATTTATGTTTGAGTTAAATATGATAATGACCATTAATGTTCTTTAAATTTGACACAGTTCGTTTAAAGATTAAAGGACCTCAAAATTAAGTACGAAAATTAAGCCCTCTCGCGTGACTACAAGCAGGCAGACTGCTTGGCTCTATAAAGGTGACTAAGGCTAATCACTTTCTGTTACAGTAGTTTCAGAGTACATTGTAGTTATTTAAAGACCCCTACACGATTACTTGAAAACAGCAATATATATAAAAAACAACTTCACAGACATTTGCAAGTGGGTAACTGAAGACCTGTAGTAATTGAATCAATGTTAACAGCTCGCATGCCTTCAACCAGGACACATTGGTTTATACAGAATTTATTTTAGTTCGATATAAGCTTATAGACACACTTTCGAATCAGGAAACGTTGTGTATACTATACTAAGAGAAATGTTGTCTTTCGTAATGTAAATATTACAAACTATATATGTTGTCAGTTAAAGAGTAAATCAAGATGTCTAGGCATGGTCCAGCCCTTTTCTTTCACTTTCCCTGTTTTTCCTCTTGCACGGAAAGCATACGATGTTTGGTCGGGAGTCACGGTTAACAGGATACATGTTATATATTTCATTTCCGAATTGTTTCCATCAAACTAACTTTGAATATAGAAGTTCTGTG